TTCCAGAAGATTTTGAATTGGAATACTTTGCTTTTTATACAATACTTTTTTGACTAAGCTAAACTGGTTTTGCAGTATATTATAAATGTTACATTTTGTTTGATGGGGACTTTTGACAATTTTCCTAGGGTAAGATATATCTAACTATAGATAAAGTTATGAATTTGGCAATTTAATTGATGTGTTATAACTTTTCCAACAGTTTGTAGACAGTTATGTTTTAAGTATATGTATTAGGCTGTATCTGATATTGGTATGAATTTACTTTTTTAAAGTTATATGTGACAGGGATCAAAGATCAGGTGAGATATTTTGATTCGTTTTATTTAAAAAGGCAGATTCAGAAGAACTGATTGTTGATTTTTTTTATATTGAGTGAATCACTTTAAGCTTGGTGTAATCAGCTATTTGTGATTTGGATATGTGGTTTGGTGTCATTGTGGCTTGGGGAATACACTAGAAAAAAGTGAGGGAAATACTGGAGGATTCAGTTCTAACTGAATAAGCATTGATGAACGTATAGTTTKAAGAATATATGCAGAATTTTTTTCCAATATCAATTGTGTAGTTGAGTGGTCTTATTAAAATCAAAAATCAAATTTTTTCATTTGATTACTGAGTGGTGCTGATTTAATATTGCTGGAGAGAATTACTTTGTATTAATACTATACTCGTTGATTTAATCAATATAAATTAGTACATGAATGTTTTGAACACATTTGGAGGAAACGATTTGGGCGAAGGAGTCATCGATAATAAAATTTAGTTATATTTACTGTAGAAGGTTTATAGTGATATTTTTTAGACTAAAAACTTTAGTGAGGAGTTGACTGAATGTTTCTACTTTTTCATCTACAAAACTTGATAACATGAAAACATATTTTGTAACGCGAAGGAAATTTTTGATCATAAGAATAGTAATAATAATATGATAACTAAACCATTATAATTAATATCTGGAACTTTAAAACAATATACTCGTCATATTAAGTATTTGATGATTTGATGATTTGATGATTAGGGTTTAAAACATCAAAATTCTTGTTAAAACTGGGGGAGGTATAAAACGCCATATTTATAGTTTTGTTAGGTAATATTTTATTTGTTGAGGTCTAATATCTACAACTACAATGCGAACACGACGTCAATGGTGTTTTTGTCAGTATGCTATGTTATTTTTATGAGGTTTCACAAAACATCAAAGTACTAATAATGTAAATGTTGTGTTATGAAATTTTGTTGGACGTAAATAAGTAAAATAATTWAGTAGTCATTAGAAATTTAGCTCATACAAGCCATGTTAGACGCATTTTAAAAATAAAAGATCAATTACAAGTTACAATATATGTTTCATTACTTATTGATATTTAACGATTGTCAGAATAGTTAAACATTATTGCTCTAAATATTTATAATATTTTTGATTTGAAATTACTGTAAAACAACTACAATACAGTAAAACGGATTTTGTTCAAAACGAATTTCACGTGAATTTCATTGTTCATTTTATTATTTAACGAGTTTAGTAAAAACAGTAAGATCAACAAGTTTTGTTTGAACACAAATTTTGGAAAAATTAGATGKATAAATTTAATTATATATTTATTTAAATTAAGCGACCTAATTTGAAGTTTGGTTGCTTAGTAATGGTAATAAATAATAATAATAATATATAATTTTATTGATAATTAGTTGTTGAACAAAGAAAACTGTTAAATATATTTAAAAGGTAAATATTATATTCACTTATGCAACACGAATAATAATGTGTGGTAGAATGATAAAGTTATAATATTTTACATTTCTTACATTTCCAGGAAACACATTATGTTCACAATGTTTATTTATCTTATAAAACACAAAATTAAGTTTCATAACAAAAAAATAATCTACTATTTAATTAAGTTTTAAGACTTGATGTATAACCAATAAATATTGAAAAGTAAATGACGGTAAATTAATAAAAAACTAGTAATTTTTTCTTTGATAAACTCTATGTATCGTATATTGTATATAACCTTTTCGAAGTGAATAAATTGAGATTCCCTTTAAATTTAAAGAGAAAAAATAACTTTAGAATCTTTTCAACTTTAAACTGTATATAATATATACAGCTTAAAATAGACACTGGTTCTATGGAATTATAAAAGTGTTTTGGTGGTTCAATTTTAATTTGGCAAATTATCTTACTAATATTTTTTACTTATTAGATTTCATATTGTTAAGAATATATTAAAATAATAGTATATTATAATCAATTAGAATAATTAAGTACAAGATGAAATTTATTTTTGAATTTTAGTAATTGGTTAATAAATATATTAAATCCTTGATTTTGTTCTGATTTTAATAATTATAGTATCAAGTTCGGACTTTGGTCTATTGTGCTAAACAAAAATAAAAATTGTAATACTCAGGAAAAATATATTTCAACTAATTAGATTCATACATTAGATTGTGTACATTCTACGTGTTTATACTGTTCATAATTATAATTTAAATATACGCAATATTATCCTAGATGTTTAACAATAGCCATTGACGTTTGATTATATGGTAATACCGACACGTTAAATGGTTAATTTCTCGTCAATATAATATTATAATATTTTTTTTTTTTATTATATATTATAAATTTCATAAGTATTTTAAATCGTAAAACACATAGTCATTTAAAAACTGGGTAACTGTTTCAAGTATTATTTTCATTCCTGGTTCGTAATATCTCTRGAATTTTAAATCAAACAAAAACTGGTAGGAAGTATGTCAAGCGTGTGTATTGAGTATACAGTAGACAATGAGTGTAAAGACGTTCAACCCTTTCGCTTGATTTAATAGCTGCGCATGTACAAGACAATTTATCAGGATGTGAAGCAATGTTTGCGTGAATCACAATATGATTTTCGTGCAAATATTTTGTTAAATCGTTTTTTTTTTTTTAATTTATAAAACTTTCCCACACCGACTTCTTAAAAATCTATACAAATATTACCATCACGTACAATGCACAAATAATAAGTCGGTTTAGCTTACCAAGTGGTTTCAATGGAACTCTTTGGATTACATAGAATGAATAGGATTTATATGCTGTCAGTTGAAAGTTTTTTTTATAGTTATTATTAGGTTTCTTTTTGATCGGCTTTGGATATTATACTGAATCATAGTATTCATAAAATCTAGTGACAAATTTTAAAAATGATGATTTATAATATTTAATCATTTTCAAATAACTTTTATAACTACACAGTTGTTTTATATATTATACTTTCAACAATATAACTTCAAAACTTTCTATTTATTATAATTTATTAAACTATGCAAGAACATGATTCAAATTTTAAACAAAATTGTTCAACGTATCACTAAAAACTATAATTACATGAAATTTATTCAGAAATAATCAAACTATTTGTAAAACTTTATAGTAGGTAATATACTAATATATGCATTATAAAGTTGTTAAAACATGTTAAATTAAAAATTAAAAATACTTACAATTAATACCATTATAGTTAGGCGTGTAAAAAAAAATGATTGATAATAATACTTGAAATGTCTATTCAAGATATTAGATAATATTTTTCAATTCTTTTCGAATTTTGTTTTTAGTTATTTAATTATAAATAATTGACGAGCTTTAAGTAGTATAAACCAAGTAATATAATCACAAGAATATTTATTTTATTATTATTATTATTAAAATACTAGTTGAGTATCATCAAGTTTCTAACAATTAAAATTTTGCATTACTTAATTTTCATCATTTAGATTTTATGTTTCATATATAAAATATGTATCACAAATATGACTATTAAAATAAAAAAAAAAATATACAGCCTAACATGCATATAAACGTTCAAACATTGTATACAATATTAATTATTATACGCATTTAATCATACCGTGTTTGGTTATAAACACGAATGTCAACAGAAAAACTGCTGTTTTGAACAGACCGCATTTTACGTTTAGTTATTATTAGATACCTACATTCATTTTTTATTTATAAAAAATATTTGATATTTAACACACCAATTTAAATATKGGCATTTAGCGCCTTTTAATATTAATTTATTATATTTACTTTAATAAAGCTTGAACATGTATTGTAATGGATTTTTCTAGAAAATCAATTGAAAATATTCAAGCTATACGTACGAATATCAATAAATACAACGAATTAGGTTTTAAACTATTCAAAAAATTTWAAAAAAAAAATAAATAATAATAGTAATAAATATAATACTTTATAAATAACTGTAGCACCAATTTAAAAACCTTTCTTCTTCGATTTTAAATTACAAATTTAATTATGATTAATATTATGTGATCGAATTTAATTTTATTAAACTATATTAGTGTTTTTTATGTATTTAAATTAATTATTATTTATGTATAAAATAATGAGTACATAATGTTGAAAGACATAATAAACAAACGTTACAACGTGAAATATTATGTTCCACTTTCGACTGGTATCGATGCTGTAATTTTAGTACGATTAGTATTAACCAAAGTTGATTAAGGTTTCCTAATAATGAACATACCTAAACCGATTGACGAGTTGTACCTATATGGCTCTTTATGGGTAGGTTATCGTTAATCCCATCTGGACTAAAATGACAAAGTGTAATAATTTAGAGACCACAGTGCAGAAATGATCTTCTCGGTAAAAAGACGGAGTCAGACCCCTATATGGGTAGATAATATTATGATTAATGAAATTTAGCTGTTACCAGAGAGTCTATCAGGGCTATGGTTGAAACTTTCAAATGSAAATTCTGCCGTACCTACCCCGTTTCAAGAAACGTACATTTGTCTATTATGTTAAACTATTATTGTTGTACAATGCGCACAAATACCACAGATGTTTTCATGTATGAGACACGTTGTTCATTGTACGCACCAACATTTGATAGTACATTGCAATTTCATTCTGACAATATATTTTACTCGGAGCATATAGTTTGTAAAAAAAAAAAATTTCAATCGTAACTCACTTAGCGTATCGGCCGCACTCGTGTACAAGCGCCACCGTTCCGTCTGACATAAGTCTTGGGTAGTTGCACCTTCGGAACGAGCTGAAGTACGCATCAGCCTTGTCCATTAATCGACCCTGTAAATAAATAGTAAAATAATTTTCCATTGTCACGTTAAATATAACATTATAACATAAGCCATGAATATACATAAGCCTGTTTCGATATAATATGATGATGATGTGATGATGTGTATAATATGATCAATCAAAAAAATATGTCACTTGTGAAAAATATCATCATATCAAGTATCAATAAAATTGTAATATAAATATATTTATGCGAATAAATTGCATCATATAAATAATGATAAAAAAAAAAAAATCATAAAATAGACTGATGCGTCTGTTAATACAAATATGTGTTTAATTTGATTCATAATGATTTTTGTTAAACATTATTTGTAGGTTAGGTAATAATATGTAGTTAATTAGTTATTAAAAAGTTAATTGTATTTAAGTGGTTTAAGTTCAAGCCTTATCATATTAAGTGAACTTTACAAACATTATTATTATAGTTTTTGCATTGTAAATTACCGTTATCATGATGACTCCATTCTTAGATTTTTTGTAGATTTCCCGTTTATTATAGATAATATTGTAATGTAAGTATGTAGAAAGACTAGTATAGTGATACTGAATGAAGTGAAAACTTTTTCATAGTTTTTAGAGATATTATATGGGCTTATCAGAAAATGATCAATCTAACAGCAAGGACTTGCATGAACTGATAGGATTTAAGGTTCAAGTTCTGAAGTTCATAATACAAAAAACAAATTATACGTTAAATTCTTTTAATTATGACATAGATATTAACAGTATTAATATACCCACGCATATGTATGTATTTATTGTATAAAATGATTAATATTATCTATGTTAATATTTGTAGGTACATGGTGTGTATTTATATTGTACACATATTTAATTAACATACAGTATAATATATTTAAAACGAAGCTCTATCTGACTATTACTCACTAGGTATTTATTAAATAACTTAATAGATTATTCATACCACTTTATAAAGAACCGTTGATTTAGGTGACCGTTTTATTTAATCATAATAATATCATATACAATCCTAACCACAATTACTTATATATCATATATTTTAAAAGCAATTTATAGTATACTGTTTAACCATAAATACTTGCCTAACCTAACCAACAGTGATTATAATCAAATTTAAAATTTTTGTAATATAATTAAGTATAATTTAAGTACTCGTCGCGTTAGGACTGAAAATAGTAGGTGTATAAACTAWATGAATACATTGCGTGTAAATAAATATGTGATAATATACATTTTATATACACACGCATTCGAATTTTAAAGAACAAGGTTAACCCTGGTATTTGCATACACGTATTTTTAATTTCTAAATACCCATAATACGTGGATTTTGGTTATCAATGTATTTTTAATATCCGTGAAAAACTGCAAACCCTAAAATATTAATGAGTTCGATTAAAAAATCAATGTAATGTGAATAGATAAGTACATGAATTATTTATGAACATTTATCAATAGTAGATTTTAATATTTTATTCGTAACACAAACAAATTATAAATAAAATATTTATTATCTGCTATAATATATTAAATTAGGTATACTAACTAAGCGGATACTTATAATCATATTTTTTGATTTAGATTATTTATTTTTCATTCGCAATTATATTATTATCTAAATGATTTAATCAGGTTTGAAAAATAATTATGAATATCAAAACACAATAGCAATGTTAAGTAATCAAAGAGTAAATGTGAATTTTTATAAGCTGCTAAAAGTAACTACTAAACTTCCATTCATAACCTACATATTATATATTTCAATTAAATAATTTCCTACAAATATTTATATATATTAAGCATAAATTCATCATAAATACATATTGGTCATATATTCTCCTTTAATATTAATATTAATATTGTTATTTATCTAGTTTAATTATCATTTTTTCCTTCTTTTTTTTTGTATGTTTTAAATTTAAATTTACCCAATATTTTTTTTTTTTACTTTTCACCAATTACATTTAAGACATACGAAATAAAAAAAAAATAAAAAAAGATGGATGTAATATTATTAACATTACAAAAATGAACACAATAAAATCAGTTTAAAAATTATTCATACAAAATATTGGTTAATTTATGAACTTTAAGTTTTCAATGACTATGAAAGTTATCTCCTAAAAATTTTTCATAGTGATTTTTGTAAATTATTATTAAACTTACTAGGCGTGCATTTTTCAAACTAAAAGAAATGGTTCTAATAAACCTATTATTAGTTACCAGAATAGAAGCAAGTTTTTACCAATACCAATACCAATTAGATCACCAATAACAAGAATATTTGAGTTTTTAAAAGTAATTGTTTTTTTTTATTACTGATTATAGATTAGAATAATAATATTTTTGATAAGATATATTTTTTTCTAGTGATGTTGGCCAGCCACTACCAATGGTATAAAATATATCAGAAACCAAAATAACATATTAAAACAAGAGTAGACAGCATATCCACAATATAAAAAACCTATTCAAAAACATTATAAATACTTTTGTTTAAAATAAAAATGTCTCACAAAAAAATAACGTTAAGTGTGAGCACAATGAATTTTGCTACGTAAAAAAAATAATTATGATTTCATTATTGTTTACTTTAAAAAACGGTAAAATGGTTTTATTTTTATCTCATAAGTTATATTCTGTCGTCCAAAGCCAGTAAAATTAATTTCTTTAACTTTTGTTGTTTCCCTTTTAAAAACATCTGGCAGTAAGCGGAGTAACCATAAATATATGTATAATACATATATATAGTTTTATAAAAAAAATGAACTGTTCCAAAGTTTATTGACACCCAAAGTTTAGTAAACAAAAGAACACTTCCAAAAATGTAACAAGTAAAAATGAAACACTATAAAAAAAAACCTAAAGTTTCAAATTTTAATATTTCAATATGCTTAATCTGAATACATTAACATGTAATGTTAATAATATGTCTATTATATGACATGATTTAGTATTTTAAGCAAAATAAATGTGTTTGCATGATATCATCAGATGCAAATATTTTGACAGATTATTTTGGGAAAATTAATTTTAAAACAATTAAAACAAATTATTCATATGGATAATATTTAGTTTTTATGATATTTATATTTTGTATTTATGTTTAAAATATAGAAATCATACCTCTGAAAACTTCTTTTTAGAAACATACTTTTAAACTATTTATTCACATTTTGAGTAAATAATATATYAGTTAAACAATAATATAATCACAGGTACATATTATAATTATTTTGTAAACTACTTAGAGATTTAAACAATATCTCGTATTGTATGCAATTAATTTAGAATTACATTTTTTTAATGGATACTCTATATTTAGATTCTGAATACTTATATACAATTTGTGATTTTATCAATTGTCAATCTAATCAAATCCGTTTATTCATACATTGAAAGTTCGTGTAAATAACAGTAAAAAACGTAATGGTCCACTCTCTGTAATAATATAAACAGAGTTCCATATTCTTCACATGTATAATTGTTTATTATTTTTAACATGTGGTGATTTATGTGTAATGCTAATGCTTTTATGTATATTTTGAAAACAAATAGATGAGCGAATCTAAACAAGTGTTCAACGAACAGTATTCTGGTGTTTTTTTTTTACTATTTTTTTTTTATATAGTATGAAGTTATCGAGAAAAAATACGTACACTTCAAAATATTAAGTATCCAATATATCGCATAATACAATAAACATTTTGCGGTCACTACAGTTTTTCCGTTAGGGCAAAATTGTATTTTTCATCACTTCGAGATCCAGTCACGTACAGCTTGTTGAGAAAACAAACAAACAAACGTTTTTGTTCCTTCGTATGTAGCAATAGCAGTAGTGAGGCCACTTATATAAGTATATATTATATACTGTAACCGTCACCACCGGTGGCAGAACACCAATGGTTGTTTTATACCGGATTATAAATATTTTTCCTGACATTATTACGAGGGTGAGCAGAACAAAGGTATAGGTCCCTCGTAGGAACCTCAAAAACAATGATGAAAATAAAACGATAATAATTTAGAGCTTAAGGTCACCAGTAATTAGAAGTCCCTTTTACTTCGTAATATTATACAAGTACATAATTAAAATATGTACTGATACCAAGTTTAAAATAAGTTACATTTTAGAATACACAATACCTAATATTATTGTACCTATATAAAGTTTCGGAATATTAAATATTTAAAATTTATTTTATTTGGATAAATATTGTTTAACGATTAACTTAGATGAGAAAACTAAAACTAACTATTTTTTTTTTTAAAACGCAAATTTTAATAACATTCATCATAATATATTTTTTTTTTTATTTTGAATTATTTCATGAAATAATTCAAAATAATAGAAATTACTCAAATATGTGTGTCTAATATAATATTTACTAGTGATTAAAAAAAAAAAGACATGCGATTTAAAAGTACCAAAATAAGATGTTTTCATMAAAAGCCTTAACATAGATTATATAGATACCTAACGTCTTTTTTCAATTGTAATTTTTCTATTTATTATTGAAAAAATTACGTACGTATTACTATTTTTGTCTAGATATAAGTCAACTTTATCTTAACCACTAAATGTGTGTGTTTTTGGAGTCAGTATTGAACTAATATTGTATAATCAGTGAGTTATGATACTATTATTTAATTTATTCTAGTTATATGTGTGATTATCATTTTCTTAGTCACAGTTCGTAATTCATTGTTATTAAATAAATTACTTACATACCTACATTACCTACTTGTTAATTTGAAACATGATGGCATATTTTATTGAATGTAAGTGATTTTAATAATTTGGGAACAGTTCCGTCAATATTTTTTTTGTGTCTATACATATATGGTTACTGGTTAGTCTATTTAAAAATCGTATCTTAATCTTAAGACAATCCCTCATGATTTATTATGTTGTGATTATTAATATTATTAGACTATATTTTACATTCTATATATTTAAACTCATCATGCTATTAAAGTTAATATTTTATTTTATTCTTAAG